GTGTGTGTGTGTGTGTGTGTGTGTGTGTGTGTGTGTGTGTTGTATGTGATTTATTGCATTTTTAGTCATACAGTATATGTGTGTGTGCTTGTATACTAGTGCTTTACAGTGACTGAAAATGTAATAAATTACATACAACACAAGGACTGGAACAGCATCAGAATAAAGAAAACATTTTGCCATGAAAGAAAAAATTGAACAAACATAATTATTTAAAGAAAACGTTAGCGTTAATCTATCGGATAACAGACTTGAATGGGGGTTGGTTGGTTGAGGTGGTTTTTGGGTTTTTCGAAACAGAGTTAATGCACAAAAGGAGAGATGGAAACACATTTGCCGAATAAGTTCTGACGTAACGAACATTTACCTCACATGGTTGATCAGTTTTTTCCGCTGTCTGTCTGGTAGCCTACCGGTCCAGTACCAGCTTCGGTTATTCCCGTAACGTGAAGAGAATCACATTTCTTTTTCTACATCTCCAGACAGCGTGTAACATCACCAAAACTAGTTGATAACAGAATAATTACAACTTTCCTGATAGTAGCAACATGTTGCTGATAACGTCTCTCCATTGTCCTGGATGAAAGTCCCAGCAAGTTTATTGTGACTTCTACTTCCTGTTTCCTACAGACGTGCATCTGATGTAACGACACTTTGCATAGCCTGGCTGATTCGCTCAAAAACAAAATCCTGTATCTGGATCGTGATCCGGATCATCACCAAAATTTAATGGTGTGTTCCTTTGGCCAATACCCACCTGTGATAAAAATTTCATGAAAATCCATCCATAAGTATTTGAGTACTTTTGTCCACAGACAGAATGGCAGACATAAGCAACCGAAAACAATACCTCCCCCTTGGCGGAGGTAATAAGCTGAAGCCTGCTCAAAACTACTCAGGGTTGGCTTGTTCCAAATCTGGTCCAGGGCTAGCTAAGAAATCAAGTTGGTTTTAGCTCGGTTTTAGCATGTAGCTTTTTGAATCTGGAGGGAAAACTGTTGAACAAATATGGTGGATCCCTGGCACGATCACCCCTAGGGCTGCCACGATTAGTCGATTAATCGACGACTTAAAATAATCGATGACTAATTCAATAATCGATTAATCGTTCTCTTTTTTTGTTCTTTACTTTGTTTTTCTCTCCAAACTGCTTTGACACCTTCCACTGCCACATCTGCCTTTCTGTCCTTGACACATATGCACAGTAGTGGTAATTGGGGTAGACTGTGGACGTCACAAGACATTATACAGACAGGCTCTGGTATCATGGCTACCCAGCAACGGAGCTCAAAAGTGTGGGATAATTTTAAGAAAATGAAAGAGAAACCTGTGCAATATCTGCAGAGCAGAACTTGCCTTCCACAGCAATTATTTTTATTTTTACCCCACTTTGCCTTCAGAACTGCCTCAATTCTTCGTGGCATAGATTCAACAAGGTGCTGGAAGCATTCCTCAGAGA